GAATGCACAGGATTATGGTTACAGAATAGTAAAATAAGATGCGTTAACATTTAAGACTCACCATGTGCTTGATTATTTAGACTACCATCACTTGGGTGGGAATGCACATGGAGGCAGACAGCACCTGCGTACTGCATCAAGCAGTAAGTAGGAGGGATTTTATTACCAGTCTTCAAGTGATATACTACAGGACAGTGAGATTGAACGCTTAACGCGCTGAAATGCCAATAATTCAATGTTATCAGGGATATATGCAAAAACATTAGATTAAATAAATAAATAAAAAACTGACTAAGAATTTGTGACTTGGGTTGATATAAAGGTCAAAGTGAAAGTAGAGTTAAATATATAGTTCACATATTTCGGGAGCTAACAGTGAGGGCCAGAGGAGTATAAGGTCTCTAACTTTTAATTCGTCGCATACTACTTCTAGCCCAATGTGAATAAAGTATTTGTATTTTATGCAATTTCGCAGTTTCCTACGACCTTCTCTTCTACCTGAAATAGCTTTCAATCAAGTGGTGGCATATCACTTACCCAAATATACGCTGTTCACTGGCTGACAATAACTATCAGCAAGAAACGGAACGAAGTTTGGGCTGTCGCTCAACTTTGATGGTGACCTTAGTGAACGGTTTGCAATTTAACATCTATAGGAACCCGTTTTGATTGCTTATACAATAATCGAACAATTTAAAATTTTGATAAGGCACTGATTTATGATACTTCAGAGTTGTATTTTATAACATAACTAATCATGTCTATAAAAATGGTATGCATTTCTTGTAAACACCAGTTTATACGAAATATAAATTATCATTATTAAAGAACTATTTCTAATTTCACTTGGATGACGGTTCCGAATACAGTAGTGTTTCACAGTGAAGGAATTAAATCTGTACTTCGTATGACGACGAGGAACATTAAGAGACGAAGATTGATTTCTGAGATTATATTTCTTTGGTGAACTAAAAGTAAAGTTATTGTGGGGAAATACGTAGGCCCTTTAGTTACCCTAAAAGTAATTTTTAGGGTGAACTTCAGTCGTCCGATCTATAAGGGTTCCAAGTCGAGTGTGTTGCATCTGTCGCAGCAAAAAATACGAAGATTTTCACCCACTAATCGTTAAGTAAACACTCTTAGTAGACTTTTGAATTTGCGCCTGTCTTTCGTTGAAGCACTGTTCATGACAAGGGGACGAAATTCAAGTAAGGGCCCTATACATAACTTGTACAGCAGAAGTGAGGATTCACGAGTCTTAAATTTTTGGAATAAAAGCACCAGCAGCCTCCTAACTTTTGGTACCTGTAATTTAACATATTCTGGTAGGCTAAATTCTGGGGAATATTTCAAACCCAAACCTGTTGCAAGCAGCAACCGAGATATATGAATGTTGTGTAGGGAGACAAAAAGTTCAGGTGAAATGTTTTTGGATCCCAGCACTCCATATTTTCAACGTTAAACTTCATTTTCCACTTGTTACAGCATAAGTGAACGCTATCAGTATCATCCTGAATCCTATCAAACAGGCATGACACCTTATTCCTGAGTGAGTGACACACTGTTATCAGTAAACAGAAAAGGTCTACCATATTTGATAACGTGGCGAATAGCACTGAAATAAACAGGATTAGTAGTGGACCTAGGACACTACCTTATATAACTCCGATCGTTATCCAAAATGGGTTGGGTGTGTGGGAACCTAACCTGACCATTTACATACGATTGCTTAGAAACAAACTGAGACAATTTAACAGTAAACTTTGAATCCCATTAGACTGGAATTTGATGTTAATAGTGAGTGGCTCACAGTGTCAAAGGCTTTACTAAGGTCGGAGTGCACAACTACTCTGATCATACCGGATTCTTTAAGTTGTGATATGTGATCGAAAAACTGTAAATGGCATGTCATGCAAGAAAGGGACTTCATGAGACCACGTTGATAAGAAGTTTCTCTTGAGAGAGGAAGTCAAAAATGGCACTTTTCACAATCGTTTCCGGAACCCCTGAAATAACGGAAGTTAGGTTAATGGGTCTGTAAATCATGACACCTGGACCGAAGCCTGACTTATGCCTACGGGTAATGTGCGTGGTTTTTCATACACCTGGATGTGTCCCAGTTGATAGAGAGGCACAGAACACTTCAAGAAAAAGAATGGAAATGTCTTCACCACCGAGTTTTAAAAAAGGTGAGGGGATCGTATCAGGACCAGGATTGTTTGAACTTTTAAGAGAAGTAATTACTTACTGAATATCATCTGAAGAAAAGCTGATAATTTCTGAAGTTTTTGTGAACGTAAGGGGAATAGAGGTTGTGGTGACGTACTATCATCATGGGTATATGACCATGAAAAGTAGGAGTTTACAAACCCACAAATTATTTTAGGGTCACTAGCAGTCTCACCATTTTCTAAAATGAATGGTGTATCCGTTTTACGAGAGTTTAGCCTTTTGCCGTGAAGCCTATGGATCGCAGTGTATTTGGAGCTATCTTTAAGAGCTGCATTTTCTTGTCTGAGTAAGACTTTGTCTTTTTTCCTTTCAATTTGAGATAAATGTTCTGTATATTCACGAGACACGGGAAGTTATTTTCTTTCTTTTACTGTCAGTGCAGCCTTCGTAGTTTGGCCCTTACTTTCCTAGGAATGAAGTTTTTATATTTTGGCTTGAGTTCTGTTTGCATTTAGGAGCAATTTCATCAAAGCGTATCGATACATTTTGGTAAACGACTAGTGGGATAGTGTTTAGGTTACTGCCAGTCTAAGCTTTGGATGAAGTAGTTAGATACGTCCCACCAACCTTTTCTGAAGCACATGGGTGATTTGCGCAGGTTGGAGCGTTTAATGAATGGGGCTTAGTATTAAAGGAGCAGACTGATGTTATGGACACGACCTGGAAATGGATATCTGAAGTCTATGGTAGATGGGGCGATGTCTCTCAAGAAAACTATGTCCAGTATACTGTGGTTTTGTATGAGCTTTGAATAGTTTGTGTCCACCCACGCAACTCCACCTCATCTAAGAGTTTACTGTAGCGGGAAGGAGCAGTGATGGGTTCCCATGAGATTTCAGGCGAGTTAAAGTTACCTCCAATGACTTAATAAGTGAAGTTCAGTTTCACAGTATAGCGAAAGGCTGCAGTTAGTTCACTTAACAGTTCACTGTCGTTCATACCCAACTATTTATCTTTATCTATGTGTATTCCTTAATCAGTGTCATCTGTGATCTCTTCTATCTGGAATGAGGTTACTAAGTGAAATAAAGACTCATAGAACATCCTTTGTAGGACCAGACAGTTAAAACAGAGGTCCCAGATCTATTGGAAGTCAAACATATTTTTTACGCCTATCTTCCCCTTACTAAAGTTCATTGTTGGATAGCGACCCCGTAAGGAAAATTCTAGCAACAACCTTCGTGACACTTCTCACGTGAGCTACAGACTGAGGGTGCGTATGAAAAAACCCATCGAGTCTATGCGTGAAAAGTAAAGCTTCTCAACGATCAACGTACTCCATCAATAAAGTAAGACGATGCTTTTTAAAAGTCATTAAGAGACATGGGTTAAATAGCTAATAACGTCACGGAGGAAATATTCGCACATATTCACTAATCAAAGCTGTCTGTAATGGAAGACAACGTGAAGCATAGCCATTTCTGTTGGCATGTAAATTTTTTGTGAGTATTAAGGGTGCACCACTGCTTATTCTTGATAGGGACCTGGCAAGTGTGTCTGAGCTGAGGACTTATCAAACCGCCTTGAAAGCAGCAGTGAAGGTGCAGCAGTACTTTCCTAGCGCGATCTGCGAGCGAAAATTCTATTCTAGACAGCAGTGAACTCATATGTCCTTCAAAGCTCAAACATGATAACTCTAATGATCCAAATAATTCTCATTAGCTCATCAAAGAGCCTTCGGTGTTTTCTAGTGCCATCTGGTCGTAGTCTCCATGATGATATATGGATGTCCACAATCCAACTTGTGTAGTCATCGAAGTGCTGGGTTATTCATCTGTAAAGCTGCCATTGCAGATACTGAAGAAAACAAGTCTTCAATCAAACGAAAAGATGTCATTTATCTGAATCATTCGGATAAATTACTCATTCTTATTGCTTTGTTGAAATTCACGAAGGAAATTAATTGTTTCAAACGACTTTCCACCAATGAATAGTGTGGTTTCCTGTCTGATCTTTCTTGTAAGGCCGACTTGGCAAGAACAGACAAAAACAAAGTGAGGTTTGAGGGGACCCTGTTTTCCCTCTACCATTAACTAATTAGATACCCTAAGGGTTAGTTCACTCCATCTGCTGTTTAACAATGATACAATGGACTAGTTTTATTAGAAGACTGGAAGGCTTTACCGGACTTTAATTAAAGCGAAGACACAGTCATGTTTATTGTTGTTAACAGTTTACACAAACACTCGGTTAACGGCCTCACAGTAATATAGTCGTTTCACAAGGCTTCATCTTAACATTCAGTATCTGAAGCAATGATTCGGTGGGAAAATTGTCGGAAGATATAGCTGAAGAGATTATGTCTGCACCCTATTCCTTCAGTAAATTATTAGTCTGCTTATGTTCCCTTTCTGTTCGTGTCTCTCTTCTCTTAAATTTCGCTCCTCTTCTAGTTAATATTTGATTAACTTAGGAGAATTCAAGATTATGGGAAAAACGTCTATTTATTTACGTCTATGTAGCTTTATTGTCGAATAACGTCTTCAGTAAATAAAAATGCTCCAACCTCCCTTTTTATAGACAGCAAGAACTCTTAAACCATTATATCGATAAATGGGTGGGAAATTTGCAAACTCCGTCCATCGTGTGAAAACTAGTGATGAAAAGTCAAAGGATTTATACAAGCCTCTATCATGCACATTTGATACCATAATTTCTCGCCAGACACCATACTCTTGAATTCAGAAGTGAGAACTGGTCTCTATCTAACTTTGAAAATTTGAACATTGAGTAACGCTACCAAAGACCTACTTGTTTGTCTACATTCTCTTTAGGTTAGCCATTGCAAAATGAGTGAGGACATTGATGTGTCCAAGTTGAAGGTCCCGGAGTTGAGGGCTGAATTGGGGAGACGAGGGCTTAATACTTTCGGCACGAAGCAGATTCTAATGGATCGTTTAAATGATGCACTAAAAGCAGCTAAATCATGTGCCGATAAGTGCGGCCCAGATGGTATGGCATTATACTTTACTTAAATGGCCGCTAGAAAATAGAGAAGCTCCAATGGATCCTCTAAATGTCTCCAAGCAAAATAATCAGAATTCTGGACAGGACGAGCGCAACCAAAGTCCCGTAGTATCTCCTAGACGGGGATTTGAGAATGGAGTAAGTCAAATATCCTCATAATTTATTGTTATTAGGTGGCGAATGACAAAGACGGTAATCAGTCTGATCAGTACCAAAAAACAGACTCAGATAGTCATAAGCGAAGACGTTCGCCGTCACACTCTCCACGCCGCAGATCCCGGTCTCGAGATAGGGATTCCCGTCGTTCACCACGCAGACGTTCAAGGTCTCCGCAACTTAAATCGAAAATGGTTGAAGAGCCAGATAACTGGGAAAAGAGTGAAAATGTCTTTCTTGATACTTACAACTGCGATTTAAATCTCATTATTGATGCTTCTAATTTTCAAGCCAAACCTCAGACTGAAGGCGGTTTCTCACTGATGTGGGCGGGAGTAAGAGCAAACTACGGTGTAATCTCTGGGAAAGCTTTTTATGAAGTTCGAGTTGTGAAAAATATCCAGGTTGAGAATTATGACAGTCTCGTTGGTGGGGCCACTCATGTAATGCGAGTAGGCTGGTCTACGGAGAATACAGACTTCGCACTTGGTGAGCAGCCGCAGTCTTATGGCTACGGAGGTACAGGCAAGAAATCATGCAACAATAAGTTTTCCGATTACGGATGCTCGTTTGGAGAAGGAGACGTAGTTGGCGCCTTTTTAGTAAGCTCCATTCCTATTTAAATTTCTACTTCAGGAGTGGACCGGTTCTGAGGCCGTACTCAGATTCAGTGTAAATGGGGTTGATCAAGGGGAGTGCTATCGTGTGCAAAAGTCTCAACTTGGCGAACATTTCGCTTTGTTCCCACACATTTATGTGAAAAATGTTGAGTTTGCATGCAATTTCGGACAGGACAATCAATCTCCTTGGTTCAACCCGGATATATCTGGTGGTAAGTCCTGAAATTTTTTCAACTCGTCTAATATTTTAACAGAATGTAAGAGTCCATGAATTTTCTAGGTGTGGTTTATGTAATGTTAAATATCTCAGGGTTCTGATACTTATCTAACTTAAAAAGCAGCAAGTCTGCTCACAAGGTTAAGGATCGGTCGTATAGTCTGTCTGTTCTTGTTGAGTATGACCAAATGGTTTTACTTTGGAAGTGTTCATTCAAGGACCTCGGGTCAATTACCAACCGCTGGTTAGCTCTTGGTTTTTCCACCTAAGCACCAATTGCCCGCTACGCAGAAAAGTCGAGGTGTATTGCAAATGTTTCACTGGAATTGGTTTGCGAACTTCATCGCAGGGACAACATTTGCACAGAAAAGAACGAGGAATCGCTGTCCCGTCTACATACAAATCAAGAGATGATACTGTTGATAGGATTTAAATTGGGACACTACTTTTCTGGCATTTCTTGGTGAAATATAGACCGTGCTGATGTACTTCAAAGCCTGTCAAATGTTCTGCACTTTTGATTGTCCCAATAAACATCCTTTCAGAATCTTTGCGTAATTCCCTGTATTTCATTACTTGTTTGCTTTGTGTTGTCCGAAGGAATATCGTCCAACTGTTATTTTCTCCAGCTAACATTTCTGAAGAATTCACCAACAATTGAATGCATCGCTCTATGATGTGCTGAATATAATCAGATGTATCTACGTTCCATGGCCAGACAACAGAGAAGCTACCGGCAAAATCAGTGGATTTTTTCTGTCTAGTAGTAGTTGGTGTAGGAAGTCGTGAAGAACGTGGTTTTGCTTTTATTAACCAGAGCACGTCTATGAAATCTTTGTTTAGCACTTAGAGTCACAAAATATGGTTATTTATTTGAAGAATAGGCGTGCCACGTAAATGGCACTGACCGATGCATTTTGCACCTCTACAGTGAAGTGCTTTTCCAGGAGCATGAGTTTAGAAGTTCTCTACATCTGTTTTTCTCCATAGTAAATGGAGTCGGCTAGGTTCCACACTTTCGCCCATTTTAGGGCTATTTATTTTCGAAATTCATTGTTACTCTGTCGGCAGTCACACTACCAAGGCTAACAACAACAGCCTGGAGGTTGCCTCACTTATCACATTCTCCGTAATAGGATTGACTCACCGGGAATCACTAGGAGTGAAGCAACGGACTGTTACCTCTTTTGTGCAATCAAGAGTCATTTGGTCTGCAAACTGTAACAAATCGGGCTGTAATTGAAGACCAACAATCCTAGAAGTGATTGAATCCTCTGGTTTCGTTGACCTAGGTCGTATTTTCGTCTATGGTTGGTTTGAAGAATTCACTAGTTTCTCACCTACACATACAATTCTGTTTCAGTCTTTATATAATTTTTAGATCCTTTGCATAAAATTCACTTTTAATTTTTTTCAGACGATCCATTATCATGGCAGTTAATGAACAATCTCCCCATTTCCTGCCGCGTACATGGTCGCTGTCCACCGCAATCAAAGTCAGAATGCGAAGCGATCATGATGGTAGGACTTCCCGGAGCCGGGAAAACGTATTATACTGAACGTTACACAGCGGAGCACCGTGAGAAACAATTTAATGTTTTGGGAACAAATCTAATTCTGGATAAGATGAAGGTAGGTTAAGTTCAGTATTTACCTGACCAAAATCACATTGCTATTCGAGGCACTTCACATCCTTCCGTATTTTAGGTAATGGGTATTGCTCGTCAGCGTAATTACCACGGAAGATGGGATGTCTTAATTGACAAAGCAACAAAATGTCTGAATACACTGATTGGTGTGGCGTGTATGCGCCGTCGGAATTACATTTTGGATCAGGTCAGTCATTTGTTCCTTTTATTTTTTCTGTTGTATTGGTGGCACCTGGAAACGCAGCGAGTTAGTGTTTCCATAAAGCTCACATAAAAATCATTGTGAACGCTTTAAAAACTGGACAATTGTAGCAATAAAACTAACTAGATGTATCTTGGCACATACGTCATAACTGTCTGCACATATTTGACCTGTTTGGTTTTAATATTGATCATTTGCTGTGTATACTGATATAAACATGTTATTTATAATTTTGTTTTATTCTTAAGAGTTACCTGATAGAACCTGTGTGAAGATTACTCCTTTATCGCTGCTGAAATCATAAGTGTCTTTATTTGATACTTTTTAATTATGTCGCTTTAAATGGTGGATTTCTTCGACAGGTTCTATTATGGTAGACTCATTTGGCTAGGTACATGTTTATGACATGTATAATTTTGTCCGAATTTATATGCAAGGTACCTTACTTGCTTTGCATTTTTGGTATGTACCTTGCAACTGGATTTGGTCCATCGCACAACTGCGCACAATTATCTATTCCTGGTGGTGGCACTGATATAAACTTCGTTTTTTTCTCATTCGCTCGGTTTCATCTCCCAAACTTAACCACAGACAAATGTGTACCCGTCAGCACAGCGCCGTAAAATGCGTCCATTTGAAGGTTTCAAGCGAAAGGCCATTGTTATCGTACCTACTGATGAAGAATTCAGGCGGCGAATTGCCCAACGGGAAAAAGAGGAGGGCAAAGAAGTGCCTGAAACTGCAGTTCTCGAAATGAAAGGTAGTTTTCTTTGTTGGAAATGGTGGTATAAAGTCCTGCAAGTTTTCCTTGGATTTACTTTTAATGCACCCGCATTCTATTTTAAACTTGAGCCTGCTGATTGGTAAATTCCATTCTACAATTTAGATAAGTAGCTAGACGCTTACGATGTTTGCTAACATTTGGTGTTTTGGTACAGTAGGTGAGTAATATTAGGCAGGACCAGTTCTAAAGATGAGTAAGAGTTTGTCATTCATATATCTCTAACTAGCAGTTTTCCTAAGATGTTTTATTTGTATTATGAGTGAGACTTGCGGTTTTTGATTTTCGACGTTGTGTGACGCCGAAAAGATGTGAAATTATTAGGCAGATAAGTTAGGTGTGGGCAGTTATATGAGTACATACGCAACCCACAAATGCTCGTACCAAAAGGTCATATGAAGCACAATATTGATTTCACTTGCGATGTCCCATTGTTCGATATAACATATATATATATATATATATATACTATGTGCATATGGTGTAAGATTCCATTTGGTACGAGTAGTTGTGGATTGAATTTTATGGTCTTTATAATGTTTGGAAATATTTTGTTATATTTGATGAATAATTTATTTGCCTTTCACCCAGGCGCAAATTGCTTAAGATTAGTGCAAGCACTTAATGAGTTTGGCCACCCATACTACAAAGATCTGGCATTCATAAAATAGTTTCAAAGTCTTGATGAATACTGCAGAATATGATACAACTTGCATACATCATTGTCTGTTGTGTATAAGAAGTTTTCAGTAGAGGTAGTCTACGTTCTTTATGCTTGTTCATTTTTACCTGTTTTGGTATATTTTGTGACATTGTATGAAACAGAAAAACAAATATGCTAATTTGTTTGATCATCTACTGCCTCAGTTACAAAAGGACAGACATTTCACAAGCCAAAAAGTTCACCGTTTTTTGAAGAAACTTTTCCGTGTAATACTATTTACCACTACAAACAATTTTCTGAACAACTGTTGAAATTATACAAATGGCTTGAAGTTACCCGTTGGAGTCCTTGATGGCATTTGTGCAATTGAAGTGGATCTATATGGAAAATTAGCAGATAACCATTCATTATAAACTTATATTGTTTACATAAACCTCTTGATAGATGGATTTTTGTTGCACTTAAAACAAACCAGTTAAAATTTTTCGTTTCAGCAAACTTCGGCATTCCTAAACCAATATCCGAAGACCCTTCTAGCGTTTTCGACGAGGTTATTTTCACTGAGCTCGGTCTAGACGATGCTAAAACTTTAGTAGCCCAATATAATCAGGAGGGACAAGCTAACAGACAACCTCCAGAAAAACGACAACGTTGGGATGGAGGAAGTCGCGATCGAGATGACTCACGGGATTCACGTTTTCGCGGGCGCGACAGTCGTGACAGAGGTCGGGACATGGGACGTGGTCGTCGTGACGAACGCCGGAGCCCACCGGGCCGTCGGAATGATGACCGTGGTCGCCGTGATTACAGGTAAATGATCACCATTTATAGAGACTTGATTGATGCTTTGCATTGTTCAACTACTTATTCTCATTTCCTTCTGTTATAGGGGCGGTTACAACGCTTCACGTGACCGTAGTCGGGATGGAGATCGCTATGAACGCAGTAAGCAGTACCTATACTATGTTTACATGTCTTTTACATTGTGTTTCTGTGAACTTTGCGAACATTTTCAATTTACAGTTTTGCACCCACTAATTGCCTCTTTCTTTGCTATTTACTACTAATAACTTACAGATAGTGATCGTGAATCATACGGGCGTCATTCTGGTGGGAGGTTTAGTGGTGGTGGTCCTCAAGGTGGACGTTTCGGGCCTCCGAACCGCGGATCTTATCCAAGTGGGATGTCTGGTCCAGGTGGGTTTGGGGGATATGATGGGTCACGTGGCGTCATGATGAGAGGTCCTGGAAGAGGGGGTTTCCAAGCTCCTAACTTCGATACACGTGGAAATCGGGTTGGTTATCGTGGTGCCATGGATCGAGGAAATACGGGCGGTTATGGTGGGCCCAACGATGCAATGTATGGACATTATGACAGCAATACGACTGATGGAGAACCTATGAGCAGTGCGTATGATATGGGTGATCCTACAGCATCAGCACTTACCCAGCCACCGTATGAAGGTAAGTTGTAGCGCTTACATGCTTATATATGTATCCCAACCATTTTCCAATTTTACACTGCCTGTTTCCTTTTCAGGTGGTCCCATGAGTGGTGGCTTCCGAGGGGGATACGGTGGTGCAGGTCGTGGCGCTCCGATGCAGGGTTCTAGAGGGGGGCCTAGTCGTGGTGCTGCCCCAATGGGACGTGGAACTGGCGCTCCCGTGCGCGCGGGACATGCTGACCGGGGTACCGATCGAAGTCAACCAGGACGCAACGCACCAGCTGGTGGTCGTGGTGGGCCACAGGCTGATCGCGAAGTGGGTGGAGGTTTCTCAAACGATAATCAACAATATAGTGTATATGTGGCTGCAGACGGCTATCAAAGCGCAGCTGACGAGTCATACTCCGGCTCTGGTAATGACGACTATCGTGGTCAACGATTTGGTGGGACAGGTCCATATGGTGGGGGCGCAATGCAGAGACCATCAGCTGGTGGTTATCCTCCCTATCAGAGAGGTAATCCTCCATTCCCACCTTCAGGTCCAGCTGGATATCCTAATGCCCCCGGTGGGGGTGGTTATGCAAGAAATAGTGCACCATACGGTACCGCTAATTCTGGTCCGAACTATCCAAATTCATACCCTAGTGACCATGGCAGTTTCACAAATAGTGGCGCAGATCCATATGGTGGACAAGCTCTATCTGACAGGTCCAGTAGACCCAGTATTCATCAGAATCAAGGTGCATCCTTTGGTGGTGGGTACGGTTCAAATGATTCAGAAAAAGCCGGTGAACGTCCAAATGCTGAAGGATCTGGTCTATATCAATCTGCTGCATCACGTTATCCCGATAATCGCTCTGCTTCAGGTATGCCACCAGCACCTAGACAGTCACGGTTTGATACGAAACCAGAGGGCAACGCTCTTCCTCAATCGAATGCATATCCTGACTATGGCGTGGGATCTAATTATGCTAGTGGTTACGCCAGTGGCTTTTCATCCAACGCAAATCAGAAGGCAGGTTCCCTTCAAACATCTAATCCTCCTCCTAGCGGTCCCAGAAGCGGTCGTAGTCGCTTTGATGTTGGACCGCCTGCTGCTCAACCTGTACCATCTGTAACTGCCGTTCAGAGTACATCAGCTAATACTTACAACCAACCTACCCAGTCACAGTCGACCAATCGGTCACAACCTCAAGTTCAGCAGGGTGCAGCTTCCACCCAAGTAAGCTATTCAATAGTTTTTTTCACTAGGCACTCAGTTCATTTATGCATTTAAGAATATTAAGTCACTCTATAAAATGCCATTTTACTTTGATAATGTGATGAAAAGCTGTGTTTTTCCTTAATCAAAATTGAAGAATACTCATCCTTGCCCTGAATGTTCACGGTAAATTTCAACTCCAACCGAGTACCTAAACCTGCTTTTTTTTCAGGCACAACCACAATCCTACGGATATGGTTACTCCCAGACTGGCAAACCGGACGCTGGAAGTAATACGACAGCACCACCTGTCAGTCAGTCATACAGTGCTTACAATTATGGATATGGGTACGGTGCATACGGAAGTCAAACTGGGCAAACATCTGCTTCTGTTCCTCGACCTAGTGCTCCCACCACTGGGTCTACTCAGTCGCTGTACGCATCTGCTGTTGCAGAAAAACCTCAAACTACTCAGCAGACGAATACGTCAGTTGCATCTTCCGTTGTTTCCTCTGCCACGACTACTTCTGCCTCATCTGACCAGTCGGCGACGGCAGCAGCAGCATACGCCTCTTACTATTATGGCACTTCCCAGAGTGTCCCGGTGAGTACACAGGGCGCAGGGAAGTATGATGCAGCAATGGCTGCAGCACAACAGTTTAACGCTTGGCAGCAGCAGCAAACACCTTCTGCAGTATCTGGTAGTGTATCAAGCAGCGTGCCAAGTGCTCCGACAGCAACAGTGACCCCTCAAACACAAACCGCCAATCCATACGCAAGTTATTATGCAGGTTATTCTTCATATCCATCAAGCTACGGGACTATGCCTCTTGGTGGGGCTCCAGGGACTGTACCAACTGCTACTGCCCCAGCAGCACCAACAATGAGTCAGTACTACTCTGGTTATCGCTGAAACTTGACAAATAAACTAACTTTCTTGTCTTTTATCTAGTTATGTTTCGTCTGACTTGTTTCGCATCTACATTGCGCACTCCTTTTGTTTCACATCCTGTCCATTATGCACGATTGTTAGAAAGAAACCAATTATTAAAAATCTTTTTATTATTACAATGGGCTACGCAGAGGTTCGTTCAACTGCCAGTATATTGGTGGCATGTTGGTATCTTTTCTCCATGCTAGCTCTTTCCACGTCGGAAGTTTGCACAAGGTTCGGTCAGGATGAGTTATTTGTTCCTCCTCGATTTCATTGTTCCACTTCTCACGGAATCTTTCCCAGCGTATGTCGTCAGCACTTGCTGTGAGAAAGCGACTTTCACTTGAAATGGAGGCTTCCAGTCTGCGTAAGTCACACCAGCATACGTAGTCCTGTAAAAGTAAGATGAAAATATTAGTTAGGAGAATGACAAATTGATACGTTTGCAGAAAAGAGTATCGCGTTTTTAGGGGAATGTTCCTCAATTGGCTCAGTGATAGACTATAAATCACTTTAGTACATGCATTGGTATGGTGGCTGGCAAAATAATTAAAAACTGTTGGTAGTTACTAACCTGCATCCATATATGGTTTAGACTTCTTTCAACGGAAAATCGGTTTCTGAGACGCACTTGCAGCAAATGGGTTATGAGATGTATCGCTTTATGAATTAGTAAATAGACAGTGTTTCTTACCTTCTTCAGATATGTTGTCCCATGGGTCACTCGGGTACATAAACTCAGCATTTTCAATCTGCTCTGCTATGTCTTCCTCTTCATTAAATGGGAAGGTCCCGCTGAGGCTAGGATTATCATGCATTAGGTGTGTACTATGTAGTGCTGCTTACCTCACGTACAGAATTACACCAACTGACCACATGTCTATTCCTCGGTTGTATCCACGATTTTTCAGTACTTCTGGAGCTGAAATGTATAGGGTATGGGTTTCAGTTTGGTTAGTTTTTAAAAATTATTATGCCTAGTACTCCTAGTTGGGTTTCGTTGGGTCCCTGCAGTATTTATAAGTATTTTGGAACATAGTATGTTGTACTCGTACATTAGCAATACGTCAAATGTATTTGTTGGTTGTGTGCTTGTTACGTTAAACTCACCCAAGTAGGCCGGTGTTCCCACAATCGACCGCCTGAATGATTTGTCTCCTATGATGCGCGCGAATCCGAAGTCACAAAGTTTAATCTGAGGGAATTGTTGAGCAGTGCCCTAAAATAAAAAGAAACTTGTGGGGATATGTCAGTTTTTTAGGTAATGTAGATGCATTTCTAACGTAGATAAGTATGTACCATAAGTGAAACCGGGAATAATGTAGTAGCAGGTCTTCCCTTGATTTCGGTGCTTCACGATTACATATTGACCACAAGGTAGTTAAAAATAAGTTTGATCTCTATTATGACTGTCTCCGTCACCTTCATGGTGTTCGGTCTGTATACGATCCTCCTATTTCTATCTAACCCGTCTATGGGAAAATAGACATAAGATTTGTTATACCAGTGAAAGGGTTCATAAGCTGAGCTTCCGTTGGACGATTCTCCATTGGCCTTGGCAAGATAGCATACCCTAGGTTCCGTCTCTGTTCTTGAGCACTGATTATATAACAGGTTTCTTTACGGCAGTAATTGGGAGGAGGGTCTAGTTTGCTCCTGAAGGCTACATACCTAAAGTTCTCCACCAAAACTCAGACCTAGTGTGTCGAGGTACGCATGAGGCTGGTTAGTCTCTACAGTAGATTTTATCTGGAATAATTAACAGAGCTGTATTATCTCCAAAGAAATCGGGGTTGACGCTGACTTCGTCGTTCTTATAGAGAAACTTAGGGTTCTCATTGCTACCGCTAAGGGGGGGGGGTATTAGGTTACTGGAATTGAAGAGATACCGCGTCGTTTCTAGTAGGGTTTCTGAAATCTGCTGACGAAGTTGAACGCAATAGGTGTTTAGTCTTAGTTCCTGCCACCTTATATGAATGTATTATGACGGTTGAAGATGACTTACCTGGGTAACTTCCGGCAGACCTACGTTGTTCACGTCTGTATGAGGCGGTATTGCCAAAAGCACATTCTCCGGCTTAAGATCGCAGTGAACTATGCTTCGTAAATGAAGGTAGCGCAGGGCGATAAGGATTTGTGTTACCAAGTATTTTGTAACTCTTTCTGTCAGTCGTCCTTGAGGTGATCCGAGAATCATTTCTAACATATCGCCTGCAAGCTTTTCCATGACCACGAAAACCTGGAACAACAGACTAAGTGTTAGTATACGCATTGTGTAAATGAACGGACGGAAGTCTTCCGTCCTCTTTTAAAAGTACAAAATTACGCTGCATTTGTTTTTTATTGGAACTGTCGGATGAACAGTTGGAAGGAATTGAAACAAGTTGTTTCTCATGACCAATCCTAGCTCAAATAGTATGAAATAGCCGTCCTAGATGCCTGCAAGTTGCAACAAACAGGATTATCTACCAATCAGACACGGCCTATCACTTGTGTCTGTCATGCAGTCACTGGATGTGCTCGCGTAAATGCCCACGATTTAAGGCTGATATTTTCTTATATACATGTAAGCATGACCCACTAAAATGTTTTGTTCCTCACGTTAGTGTTCCTGCCCTTGTTAAAATACGACTGCTCTGTGTTCATTGTATTTTCATAGCTGTGGGGATGGATAAAGTTTTGTATTGTTTTCGTGTCGTAACTGTAGTAAGACTCACACCATGTGTGTTGACTGTAAACACGAAGATGTCTGTAGGTAAATTATCTCCCTGAAGTTCTGAACAGTGATGATGCTATCAAGTGAACGATACAATAACAACCCTATACCGTAATTATCTGCACAGTCTGGAAGAAGTAGCGATACTTACATAAATAGAACTAATAAATATGGGTGAAGTTGCTTGATTAATCTGTAATTAGCTAAAGTACGTAGAGTCTAAATGGGAAAAGGAAATCGAATACTGAAAACTACGACAAGTGGTTCGAGAACGTTTCGATCGTCTGACACAGAACAAGAAGACATGAACCTAATGCCTCGCATGCATTTAGAGTGCTTCCTGACGAGTGTGTGGAAACTATGTGCGAGGTCTTAAATATGCCTAAATGAGATTGCTAAATTTTTAAAGAATTTCTAAGACGTGAGGTAACTATGCTATGGGACTAAATTGAATTACTTGATTCAATACTACAGAGAAGACGCGAAAGATCCTTTCAATCAGTGTGAAAGGAGGCCAAATTAAATCCTTAGAATTGTTACAGAGAGTATGTGGTCAGATACATTTGGTCTGTATCTTTTTGAAACGACTAGTAATTTAGGAGTATAGTAGGGATGTGGCGCCATCGAGGAACTTGTCTCACCCAATGCCACCTTGCTAGCTAACAGAAATAAAAGTTGGTTAAATTTCAGATATGAGTTCTGGAAGAACCGTTAAAAACGAGTACGAGTGAACTTTGGATATCTCACTGAAAAAAAACAATGAAATTGGTATCCTTGCGAATCAGATCACCAGATGTTGCTATCCGAATAACGTAATGAGTGGTCTGCTCGAGATCGGATGTGAATGTACTATATTGAACTGATCGATAGTTATGATGTGTAGGAGCGTGTGATTCGATTTGTCTGAAGGATGTCCAGGAAATAATGATTTCAGAGAATAACGGTAGATAAAACTCTGGAACATTTTTATAGAGCCTGAAGAGATTTTCGACAACCGACCACTAACGATACTAGTAGACAATCTGGAGATTCAAATGTGCCAATACTAGGTTAACTGCTGTTGCTTAACGAACAATGTTCATCGGAAGTCCTGTCTTGGCCCTCTACTCACCTACTTGTTGCTTTTCGCTGGTAGATCTTCGATCTTATGCGGCGTGAGACGTCAATCGTGCATGAAATTCATATCTTCTAGGGTATTTTTGTCAGCTCATTTGTCTTCTGCACGATCCATTGCGCCACAACCATGTTAAGCAGCCTTGTCATAATTGTGTCTTCACATCGGACATTTCAGTTGTGAATTACTTTGTGGCATCTTCAACATATTCCTGTTGAACGAGATTTATAAATATTCCTATTACACACTAGGATTTCCATGTCACCATCTGCCTTGGTTCTTACGCATAGTCTTAGTTTGGTCGTGATTCTTGTCTGGGTGACCGGAGAAGATTATGGTCTCTAGGTCAAAATCTTGAGAGTCCATTCCTACTGTATTTTGCTGTCACACAAGCCTAAAATTTTCTATCATATTTACTCACTTCGGTAATGTGATCAGCCTCTACGGCTGCAAATATGGTGCGGACATTCTGTGTCCATATACTCACGTTCGAAAGAATACATGTCACCCAAATAGCTTACGGGAGGCCTGCACCCACTGGCGTCATTCGTCTTGTAGGTGAACAGCATTGCTGATTCCAGAGAAGGGTAAGTTTGTTTTTATTATGCTTTAAAGTTTACTCGACCGTAGGGATGTTTTATTAGGGGTGGGATTTCAAGCTTTATAATCAACTTAGCGTGTGATTCCTTTTGTGGAGATTATGTACTAATTATTTTATACATTTGTGTATAAATCGTTTCACGTGTTAGTTGAGATTAAAACATTACATACAATGCGTTAAGTATACATGGAATTTATCGATCACAGTGCAAACAATTTTATTCATATTTTTGTTAATGTATTAACTTACTCGTTTTGGAGTTTCAAACATTCTCTCTAAGTTCACTACCCCAGGATGATTGAGATTCTGTAGAAAATCAAAGTTTATACAGCATTTTCAAGAAATGCTTTTCACGATAAAATTAGACAGATTTAGGTAAAAATTAGAAATCGCTGTAAAATATTGTTTAGAATTAGTATGCATAGTAATGCTTATATTTAAATAAGACATTCAGATTAGAATTATTAGACGTATTTACTGTGGGAAACAGGGCTTCAACAACACATCTCCACTTAGTTCTATTTTATGACTTCCTCATCAGTTGGGACCACGACTACCCATAATCCTCCTCCTCGCCACGCGATCTCCTCCATGTAACGAGTCACAACCCACTCATCGCTTCCCATTTGGGTTCCACACGAGCAATGGCCTGATGCACAGTGTCATTCCACGGCCTCCTCAATGTATACTCAATCCATCCCCATTTCCTCCTACATATTTGTTGAGCTATCGGTTCTTGGTTGGTAAGTTTCTTGTCTCCTATTCTTTCTGGCCAGCCATTCTATCTTCAGTATGGAGCCATCGAAGGCAAATGTTGATAAAAGTCTGAAGTGGCCTGTTGGCAATTTTTTTCGTGACACTGGCCAAGTTTCTGACTCGTAAAGAAGAACTGACTGACTCAACATTTGTATTGAAAATCCGAATATTTTTCTTTGGGCTATGGAGTGCATGAAAATTTCCAAACTGGTTTCAGGTTGGTGAAGGCGTGGGTATCTTGCCTTTCCGAATCTGGATGGCTTTGACATATCCGTTTCCCCTGAAACGATGCTTCCTAGAAAAGTGAAGGAAGTTACCTCTAAAGAGTTTCTCCCTCTGATGGTGACTGGTGCCGTTTATTGTAGCTGTTGGTGGCCATGGTTGATTATCTTCATCACCACCGTCTTCTCTATGTTCACTTGGAGTCCAGTCTTTGATGCCTGTCTTTTCAGCCAGTTTGTTGATTTTCGCCTGTTAGTCTTCGAATTTGTGTGACATTAGACATATATTATCTGTGAAATCAAGGTCTTCCAGAGTCTTCTCATCGGTGATCCAGCGTACTCCTGTGTCCTCACGACCAACGCATAGTCTGACGCACATTCCAGTCCACCACAATTAAGAATATCATCGGTGATAATAGGCAGTCAGACTTGTCCTACTCCTGTCTTCATTTCATAGGCATTGCTGAGTTTCCCGTTGTTGATTGCCTGACACGTGGTAGTGTCATGTACCCTTCTGTTGAATGAGGTTGATAATGCCTTGGGCACTGCACGCCGTAGTGTCGAAGTAGTTTCCAAGTTACCTCTCGGTCAACGCTGTCTAGTGAAAGCCTTTTCAAAGTCGATGAAGTTGAGGTAGAGAGGAAGGGTTTTGACTGCCATTCTATGCTTTGTTCTGTGATGACGGTGCGTAGAGTTGGAGTTTGATCAGCACATGATTTGCCGTTTTTGAATCTAGCCAGCTCGTTCCGTGTGGTGGACGGAGTTCTGCATCCAGTGCATCTTATTTTCTCTCCAGGAGGATGTGACTTAGTATTTTAATTGACGTGAACAAGAGCATTGTTCCACGTCAGTTCTTGCAGAGTGAGACGTAATTTGCCCTTCCTTGGCAGCTTGGCAAGGTAGCCAGGCTTTCTTCCAATCGGTAGGTACCTTTCTTTGTTTCCAAACCTTTTGCAATAATGGTGTGAGAACATCTGCCGCAGTCTCTGGGTTCGTTTTCAGTGCTTCGGGGGAATTCCGTTTTGTCCTGCTACCTTCCCGGACTTCAGTAGCTCGATGGCATTTAGGATTTCTGCTTTTTGTATGATTGGTTTCCACTGGCAGGCAGCTCTGTGCGTGCTGTTGGTGGCGGTGTGTTTCTGGTCGAGTTGCAGGTAACGGTCGATTTAGAAGTCCTTTAAAGTGATCAGCCCATTGTTTGACTTTTTTCTCCTCTTTGGTTATCTGGTTCCCTTGCGCATTTTTTACTGGTTTCATCATTTGTGTTGATCTTTTTCCGGATAGAGACCTGGTTGTCTGATATAATGTCTTGAGGTCTCTTTTACCTGCGGTCTGCGTGTTCTGCTTCAGTCGCCAGCCAGTATGTCGTAGAATTGTCTTTTCTAGCACTCTTCTTCACGTCTTTCTTGATTCAGTGCAGTGTACATTGAACTCAGCTTCTCCTTATGTTATGTATCTTTTCGTTTAGTCATCTTCTCTTTCACCATCATCCTCTCGTCGATTAGCTTTCAGGTAGGTATCCGTTGACAGCAATTCCTTGTCTTGTCTCTTCCTTCTCTGTAGAACAGTTGTACGCGTTTCCTTCAATATCGCTTTCAGAAAGTTCCAATGTTCTTCCACACAGGTTTCCTCAGTGTCCAAAGAACATACACAAAACAAATAAGAAATCACATCAAATTTCAAAGATGCGGATGCAGTACAAAAGAACTAAGTTATGCATGCATGCATCATTCCGAAACAGTACTGGTTTATGTTGTTTTTGGTATCTTAACACAGATTCCTGTAGTCATGTAGGTGTATACTTGTTTTGGCTATTGTCTTTTAGTAACCTTTTTTTTCATCTAGTGAAATATTGGAAGTAATAATTATATAATTTATTATCTAGTTATATTTCATTGACATTTTTCCCTTCCTTTGTGTTCCCCAGGGAGCATAGGGCTCCAGTTTTGAGCTTTGAAGTTTCAGTAGTGGTGGTGATTGTGGTAGGTTTTTAGCGGAGATAGTAGAGGGAGGCGGCAGCTCACCGCCCTCACACTCAGACTTCCCTCTTTTCTCAGTTTACTGTCAGCTAAGCGAGGTAGGGAGGAATACTATCGTCCGTCGTCCGATAATCGAATCCTGACCACATAGATGACTGCTGAGTGTTTTGTTGATTAATTTATTAATTTTTGTTGCATTCGACTGATTATATTTACTCTTTGAATGATTCCATTTACATTCAAAACAATTGATCCAGCTAAGAGACCCATTTCAACGATTCTATTATCAAGCTGTACAATCGTATTCACACCTTTGTTTCAGTTTCCCTCACGGCATACAATTTCTTTTAAAAAGCCATATATATATATATATATATATATATATATATACGATTGCACAAGTTGCTAATAAATTCGTTGAAAAGAGTCTTTGCTGAATCACTTGTTTTGATTTTCTCTGTGTCCCAATGGGAATTTTCCACAGATCCCATTTACCTTTTAATTGCCTTTTCTTCTTCCTTCATTTATTCAGTGCCTGTACTATGAATCTTTTGACGTGAACATCGATAAAATTTGTGATAGTTTTGTTGAAAATTAAAAGATGATTTCATCTCTTGTTATATATTTGCTAGTGACTACTATTGAAAGAATAATCTAATAATATGTATTCCCTTCTGTTGGGGACTCGTTTGCTGGATATTTATATGCATTCCAGTGAGTGGTATCCTGTTCGCAGGGAGTTAACAACTGTGCATGTAGATACCGTGCGATATCTTTTATCCTCACCCATGTATGGAAAATGCATAATGCAATGACTATAAATTGATTTATCTGTTCGAAATCAATTCAGATCAATGGTTACGTGAATTGAATTCGTAATATCTGGTTCGTCTGTAAGTTATAGATGGATAATACTATGATATTACTGGAATATTCACTAAGTATAATCATTGAACATTTGATCAATAGTAGTCACCTTATCTCTCTCTAGCTGTCTAAAAGGCGAGAAATATTTTGCCCAAATAATTACGCATCTGTATTACTGAGGCTTCGTCCATCAAAACAAAGAAGTCAGATCTTTGTATATAAATAATGAATTTGTTGAAAAGAGTCTTCTCTGAATCACTTGTTTCGGTTTTCTCTGTGTCCCAATGGGAATTTCCCAGGAATTAAAAATATGTTAGTTGTACTTGCCAACTGACAGTACTTTTTTTAAAATATTTTTGTGATCAAGATCTGAACAGTTTTATCGTCTGAGTTATACTCACTAGCATGGTATAACTCTCCATCAGTTTGGTGTTTATGGTGTATCATATCTCTGACAGAATGATTTGTGGAATAATTCATCAAAATGTTAATAAAACGTTTTATTTAATGATGACAGGTAGACAGAATTATTGTACAAACTTATGCAGAATTTTAAGTCACTACACTTCAGTGAGTTGCTAAATGTCGGTTGGATTCACTATACCAGTCGTTGCTATCTCTATGCGTTAACAGACATAGATTGAAGAAGTGTCCTATTCGTCTACTTTTTTTCTAGATTTGATCCTCTTCCAGGTAAGGGTGTTCATCGTGAAAGATAGTTACTCAGCATGCACAATCCTTTTGTAATTACTTCATTGTAAAAAATGATTTGTAAATCTATCAACCCATCTATTTCGCTTGTTTAATATCCTATTTCTGTGTGTTACACATTATTCACGATATGGTTCTATGTTTTGTCAGCAGTTCTGTGAATATATTTATAATTGAAAACTTGTTACACTCCCTATATCAGTATCTGAGACAGTGTAAGATATTGTTTACTTTAATAACGTGAATGAAGAATGCTTTATCGATGCCACCGATGATGCATAAAAGAGGAATCACGCTGATGATAATGATGACACAATAATAACAATTAGGCAAATACTTACACGCAGTATAGACACTTCATTTTTTAATTGTGCTTCTCTTTTAGTAGGAAATCTTAGTTTATCAATAACTTTAATTGCTACTTCACGCTTTGTTTTACGATGTATACCTGTAGAAGAGAAAAAAAGAGGAATGTTATGATGCCTAATGTAAAATAGTGATTGTGATAATAATAATAATAATAATAATAATAATAATAATAATAGCATAACTGGTCGTTTTGAGAGAATCCCAACTATAGAAATCAGTTTATCTCTATTTACGTTTTATTCATCAACTCAATCTCCCACTTCCTCACTCGGTACACAGGTGTGTTAATTATGACCCCGTGTCCCTCTCATTATGACTTGTGTAGATAACCGTGAGTAACACTGACTCAGTGCATCTGACTTGTGATGAACGCCTGTGAATCTTTCAATGCGATATTCATAAATGATAAAACTGAGAAGGGAATCCGCATTCAGTCGATATTTGTGAGTGATCATACTATCTCAATATGACTGAACGAATGACCAGAGCAACTATGCTATTCTTACTACTTTCATTTTCAAGTGTTGGTTTGTAGGGATTTGATTGGCTAGAGGATTTTCATCATGAGCTGACATTAGTTAGAGAACCATTGGAAAACCTGGGAGTACTGGACAGCTGTTTCATCCTAGTTTGGGTGTGAGGACAAATACTCGCCGAAGACATTGGCTAAGGGGTCGCTCTATGTCGTGAATTGACATTGGATCGGGTCCCAGTGGCTTAATGGTATACGAGCTCGCCTTGTAACCAGAAGGTCCTGGGTTCGAATTCCGGTGGGTGCGTACTGATGAAGAGTCCCAAACTAGGACGAAACAGCTATCCAGTACTCCCAGGTTTTCCAGTGGTTCTCAAACTACTTTCATTTTATTTTTGAATTAACTGTATTCTAGATTAATACTAAAACTGATTTTCTCTAAAACTTTGAAATTTTTAAAAGTTGAATTGTGTACATTCTCGACTCAATAGACAGTGGCATTACAGCTTCCTTTCTTTGCTTGACATTCATTCCTACATAGCATAGAATATTTCTTTAAAATGTAAGTACTCATACCGATCAAAATGCAAGTTGCATCACTTATTCATCATTATTCGATATTATAAAACCGTGGTAACTGTTTTCGACAACATTTTTGTGGTTTTTTAACAGCTCAAATAACGAACTGTTTGAAGTTTTTTTTATTCCTTTACGTTTCCAATGGAACATAGGGCTTCAAGTTAGAGGCAGTAGTCTTTATTTTTGCGGGATGGGGTTGATAGCCCCATGCCCAACCTTCCCTCTTTACCAGTCTAAATACTAGCTCGGCGAGGTAATGGAGTGCATAAGCTGGGGGTCGAACCCCGAACCACATACGTGGTTGGTTAGCATTCTACTGCTGTGCGTCAGATGCTGTTTGAAGTTTGGCTTACCAATCATCCTACTTACAGGGAAACACGAATTGATTAGAATCATAACTTCTGCTTTAGGTTTTAGTCAGATAAAGATGTCGTCAGGTGGTATTAGTAGTTCCACTGTTGTATGTTGAAAAGCATTTCAACCTATTGGTTTTTCCTGTTCTCTATAAATTCCGTAGAGATTGTCATTGGTAAACAGTGATTCACAATAAAGTGTTTAAGATATAAATCGAGTGACTATTCCTAAATTTCGCGTTTATGATGCAATGGTAGAATGCTCGTCCTAGTCGAATTCCCTATCGATGCACACTTAAACCTCGAATAGGCAGTATTAAAGCCCAGGATAACAACGAAGGTTAGGCGTAAGGCAAGAAACTCCACCCAGTAAAAGAGAAACAGTAATACTACTGCTAATGAATTTTCGAAGCTCAGGAATGAAGCCTTATGTTCCATTCAGAACTAAAAGAAGTGCATAGAAAATTCCTTGAATTAGTTAGTATAAGCTGAATATTTTGTGATTATTTATTTTAATTTAATTCATAGAAGTAGTAGGATAATACTAGATGGTTGGAGGTAATCGTCAGGGAGCCTTGGACTTAGGGTTCATGCTTGTCGGCACTCGTCAGCAGGGCGTATCTTTAGCCTTGAAGGAACTCATATCCCTTCTGAGATTCGAACCTGTATCACCCAGTGGTGCAGTCAGATACGTTGTCACTGAACTATTCAGACCAGCGACTGATGTCTTGTAGGAGTGTATTCGGTAATTTAATTGAACACTTGGTAGTAAGTAACTAGTGCCAACAAATACAACACCTTGGGCCTACCACCTTATAGCAACAATACAGAGTAGACCGTGTTACCGAGCCACCTAGTTTGGTGGCCACATTGCAAACTTGACTGATACAATTCAGTCTGCATCAACCAAAGGACTAGATGCACGACACTAGTTACTTACTATCTAGTGTTTAATCATAGTACATGACACAATAATATGTATTTATAACAAACAGTAAACGCATATTAACTCTGATCAGTTTAAAAATCCAACAGATAATATTGTCTTTCAGTATTGACCACGGACTGAGATTAGTTAGAGAATCATCGGGGACTATGGAGTACTGGACTGCTGTTTCTTCCTGGTTTCTTTGACACGATGCACCTACTGCGGTTCGAAACCCTGAATCTCCCAGCCACTGGGACCCGACTCAGCGTACTGCTGATGAGCCTCAAACTAGGACGGAATATCTCTCCAGTGCCACCTGGTTTTCAATAATTCTCTTGAAATAAATCAAATCCCTACAAATTAAGTCTTGAAGATAATTTTTTAGTTCAAGGCTTTATCACAAACCTATTCAAGTTACTGCTGACTGTCTATAGGATTGAATTATATGTGTGCAAATATGTCGCAAATATTAGGAGCTGAGAAGTGTTAACCTTCATATAATACAAACCGGTTGTTGAGATGTGAGTCACTGGCTCGAATCCCGCTTCATCTACTTCATAGTGAGTATCGCCATCACCCTTACATAATGATTGTGATTCATAGTCGGGTACATAAACACACATCTGTACCGCGTCACTGATTTGTAACTAATATAAACGGACCGGTTGCTGAATGACATAGTTTAAATGTCTTGAATTTATTCTCTGATTGGGTCAAAAAGTTTGTGCGTGTGTGTGTGTGTCTTGTTAGAAGGGTTTCATTAATTTTCCGACTCATGTCAACCGTTTATATTTTCTGTTTTGTTATAACTTAAATCGATTTAAAAGTCATTATTGAGTTGAATGAAGTGATAATGTGTAGATGTGTTTTTGAAAAGTAAACTAAGATTATTTATTACATAATTATAGCGTTTCACAGGAACATATATATATATATGCATATATACATAGACAAGCATCTGAATACATAATTGAAGACATTCAGGTCAACTTTTAGTATTTACATTATACTGGCTTTTTCTATATTTACAGCATTTAACATTATTTATTGATTTTTTTAAATCAAAAATTGACATACTAATTATAGCAATTGGTTTGTTAATCATGCAATGCTATTTCAAACAAAACAAGTTAAAACTGGCATCGCACGAGAATTTGTGTTGATTTTGATGTGTTAGTAGTGTGACAACTGTTACTATGTCGTGAGCTAATTATTGATTAGTGTGAGACAAAATTATGTAGCACGTAACCTTGACAACGGCAATAATAAACCCGGTAATATATGAGTGGTTTTTGTGTTTTCCTTTTTTCCAGTTACAATAGTAGTAATAATCATGTTTTTTCAAAAAAAAAAAACACAACTAGGTCGCTTCAAACAATCGTAGAACGGTTCATTGAACACTTGGATTTATATTGAGTGCACTAAAGAAAGAATGTGTAGACTGCTTAGCTGATTTTCTCGATATTATTACTGTGTATTCTCTGCGTTCAGAGTGAAACACAGGACTTGAGCATTGCTTCCTTGTTTTTTCTACTGGATTTACAAATGCTCACAAGATTTCATTTCTTCATTTAATCTCCTGCATGTCAGTCTCGAATGCATAACTTAATTGTCTCTTCGGATTCTGGTTCCACATGAAAGCCCATTCATTGTATAATGTGACTCAACAGTCTTTAATTCATTTTTTTCTGCATATTTGTTGAGTAATTTGTTCCTGATTGGTTCACACTGTCTACCAGAGTTCCTTATCTCTTATCCTTTCTGGCTGGTCGACTATATGCTATTCAGTATTGAGTGAAGGCAGTTGCTGGTTGATCAAAGCCTGTTGGAAGTGGTGTCAGTGATACTCACGCGGTGCTTTTTTAAGTACTAAGTTCACATTAGTGAAGAGAACCTGGATACTGCTCCCTGTACTGAGTTCTGTTCTTGTAAACAATATATGCACCACATAGTTGTGGAGAATTTTCTGGAACAGTTTCTGGCAGTGTGTTATTTTCTGAACTACCACCAAATTTTTTAATCAGGGTATGTTTAGACTGTCCAGTAGGAAATAGTTTTTATGGTAAAACTTCTCATCTTCCTAGTAGCTATATTCAATGTGGTCAATAAGTAATATACACACTTTTTATTAATTCGATTAAGTACAGAACCATTGTTGTCATATTTCAAATTATGGTCTTACTTAATATAATTAATTTTGTCGAGTAATACACTTAACTGTAATCGATTTCTTCGTTCATCATACAGCCGATTGCCTTTTTATCCTTTCCATCCAAGTAGAACGTTGGACTGTGCGTCGGTGGCACAGCGGTACAACGCTCATCAACCACGTATGTGGTTCGGGGTTCGATCCCCGGCTGATGCACTCCTTTACATCGCTAAGTCAGTAATTAGACTGATAAAGAAGGAAGGTTGGGCATGAGGCTATCGACCCCATTCCGTAAAAATAAACACCACTGCTACCGAAACTTCAAACCTCTAACTTGAAGCCCTATGTTCCACTGGGAATGTGAAGAAATAAAATACTAATAAGAAGAACGTAGGACTCCAAGCTTTGAAATTTCAGTAGCGATAATGTTATTTCCATGCGGTGGGGCTGTTGGCCTTACACCCAATATCCCTACTTTCTCGGCCTTACTATCGACCAGGGGAGGATAAAGAGTGCGTCGTCTGGCAATCAAACGCAAGCCTATCACTTGTCTCGCCAGTATTGTACCACTGAACCGACGACACACAATTATCCTCCT